ATTGTGTATTGTAGAATGTGGCGCACTGTCTGAGACAAGAGCGTTGATGCTTGATCACTGGGCATGCAGTGGTGTGCTAGCACTGTGGTGTTCCCAGGAGGTTCGGAAGACACGAATCCATGTGGGATCGATTATCCGATGAAGGGTATTATGGATGTGTTATGACTTGTGAATTCTTGGAATTGGATTGATGTTGTTGTTTGATACGTGTATTTACGTAGTATATACCTACTTCTGTGTAATTATTATCATTTTCATTTCATATACGACATATATACTCACTGAGCGCGTGATTTAGCTCACACCCCTATAGATTCTCCTTTTTAGGTATAAAAGAGGGAGACATAAATCAGTCCACTGTCAAAAGGGTTGTGTTTTGTACAATGTTAATATGATATTCTTTTTGTTATGTATTTAGTTTTAAATGAGTAAATGATACTGGTTCAGGGACTGTATAATTATTTGTTGGGTTGTTTATTATGTTAAATGAGAGATTATTATAGCAGGTTAATAATATATATATTTGTAAACAGACTCAATAGGTATACTTTGTGATGTATGCTATGTGGGTGTGAGATTTTGTATCTGTCTATAACCGTGGAAATAAACAATTGGTACAGGTATTATATGTGGTACAGGTTATGAGATAGGTTTACCATCATGCTTAATAACTAAGGTGATGGGTGGTATTGTTACACATGTGGGATTAATTAGTGTTTTATTAATCTAGATTATATATACGTAAACAGGTGTATCAAAAATCTAGTCGCGTCTTATCTTTGGGAGACCGGTATGAGGCGTGACACATAACTTCTAGAGCTTAAATATTTCTAAGTGATTAAATGTCCCTATTTTGGGACCGAGCTCTCTGAAGAAGGGCCGAGTAAGGACCATAACTTCTGGAGCTTAAATTTTTTTAAGTGTAAAAAGGTCCCTATGTTGGGATCGAGCTCTTTGAAGAAGTGCTGAGTAAGGGTTATAACTTCTAGAGCTTAAATTTTTTTAAGTGATTAAAGGTCCCTATTTTAGGACCGTGCTCTTTGAAGAAGGGCCGAGTAAGGGTCATAACTTCTGGAGCTTAAATTTTTCTAAATGTTAAAAAGTCCCCATGTTAGAACTGAGCTCTTTGAAGAAGGGTCGGGTAAGAGTAATAACTTCTAGAGCTTAAATTTTTCTAAGTAATTAAAGGTCCTTAATTTGGGATTGAACTATTTGAAGAAGGACCGAGTAAGGGTCATAACTTGTAGAGCTTAAATTTTTCTAAGTAATAAAAAGGTTCCTACGTTGTGACAGAGTTTATCAAAAAAAGGCCGAGTAATGGCCATGACTCTTGAGCAAACACAAAAACCAAAGCAAAGAGCCAAGAAACAACTTTCATTATACTTCAAAAAGTTACAACATCATTCCAAAAAGCTTTCAAGCGTACACATCAAAAAGTTACAGAAATTTTTTAAGTGTTTTTAGGAAAATGGAGGCTGGGAGGAGCTAGAAAGAGAGTGGCGAGAATAAAGTTCAGAGGATTGAGGCACTCCACCAGCAGTCAAGGCAGCATGCCAACCCTTGTTGAAGTATGCCTTTTGAAACAGGGGGATCTGCAGAGCTAGATCATTCTCTGCCTTCTCCATTCCTTGTTTATATGCAAAGTTTTCTCGATCCTTAGCCTCAGCCTTGAACTTATCAAACTCTTCCAAGAGACTAGCATGATTAAGCTGGGATTGGGCGAACTCCACATTTCCTATATGTTCAGACTCTTTCAACTACTTAATCCCTGGAGAATGTTTCTTGTTCTCCTCAGTCAAGCAATGCATTTGAGCCTGTAGAACCAAAACTTCCTCGCAGAGATTGGCATACTTTTCGCCCAAAGACACATTTTTTGCTAAAACTGAAGCACGAGCGTGGATGACATCTTTTATAGCTCTGTCTTTCTGAGCTATCCTAGCCCCTACTTCATGAACTTTTTGAAGCCCTTGCAAGTTAAAAAGAGAAAAAAAAAACTTAGATAGATTAATACAACTTAAAAAAAGGTAAAATGAACAAGTATAATACCAGAATCATCTGCTGGATTGCTTGGCAAGTAATCTCATCGTCAGACAAAGCTTCATTCGTGGCTAACTGTCGAGGCAGAATTACTCCCTTAGCAATCCCCACAACAACGTTGAAGTCCTCGACAGCCGAATCCTTCATTATTAACTCCCTTCTTTTCTCTCTAAGGATAGGTTGAAATGGGGGAGTAATAGGTTTAGGAGACACGACAACATCAAACTCTACAACTTTGCATAGTTTAGGGGCAGGGCCTTTAGAAAGTTCTAAAATTGAATCAAGATGGTTGTCGGGAAAATGAACAGGATTTGGAGGATCGAACTCAGTAGGAATAGATGAATATGTGGCCCGAACCAAATCAACTGGCTCATCATCCTAAAGAACCACATTATTTGGCTCGGGAAGAGTTGCTTCAGCAGGATCTTCAAGTATGAGCTCTTGCACAGGAACAGAAGGGTTGGCTAGAATAGAAGACTCAAGCGAAATAGAAGATTCACCAAGTACAGAAGTTTCGATAGGAGTAGAAGTCTTAGCAAACGACAAAAAATCGAGAAAATTGCAGACCATCCTATTTCTTCTTGAATGGTCGAGTAAAGACTTTTTGCAAGAACGAGGAGTCTGGTTCCGAGCAGCCTGGATATTCTCACGGTCGACAACAAAGGAAAAATTAGGTCAGTTTGGGACTACGATGAACGACATATACGTCGAGGTGTACCCAAGTAGTGTATGAGCGGCATAATAGAAGATGGAGTCATTATAATCCCAAACTTTCTTGAGCTCGTCCATCTTGACAGCTTGTTCAGGAACTCTGTCTTCACAGTCTTGCCTTTATTTAAAAAAAAAAAATGAGGGAGAAAAAGTGTGTAAGAAGAAACAATACAACTGTATAAAAATGTGCTAAAGAATCAAGTAAAAACATCAATCAGCTGGAGCGACCTCTTCATAAGGGCAACGATAAGAAGGATTAGTGTCAGTTGCATACTCCCAATTCCAATAAACAAAAATCACGTCATTCTTGTGGCCCTTGTTCGAGTCTAGAAGGTGAGTCACCAGATATCGATCCTTCTTCCTAATAGCCAGGTAATAGTTGTCCCCAACAGACTTGATAATGTAGCAGTACAAAATCTCTCAAAGGCCCAATCTTTGGTTTAGCAACCTGTTGAGAGCAGCAACCCCCATGACGATTCTTAAAAAATTGGGACAACACTGTCTTGGGCAAAGCTTCATCGCAGAAAGTACCCAGAAAAAAAGAGGGTCAAGGGAAAAGCGAACTCCACTTCTGTTATCGCTCGTGTGTGAATGAGGATACTCTCCCTGGTACCTATTAGGGGCTCATCATTACTAGTAACTCGAACATTCACATCATCAGGAATGTTGTACTTAGCTTTGAAAGCTGGAACCTCAGAAGGTAGTAAAGGAGCTATAACGCAGAAGAAACAAAGAAAGCAAAAGGATGGTTCGCAGAAAGAAAGAAGGGTTGTGTAAAGAAGAAGACGACATAAAAACTCGTTTAAAAGGAGGAGAGTGAAGTTTAAGAGGCAATGTTTAAATGCAGAACTAGCCGCCAAAACAAAGGGGGATGTCTCAAAAAGACGTGCAATGATGGATTTAGGTGCATGAAGCGACTAATAGACGAAAAGCGTCTGTCACACATTTCCTCAGGGCAAACGAAGGGAGTTGCTCCCTTTATGACATGTGTAATCACATTAAATGATTCCACGTGAGAGTAACAAGACTAGTCACGTGAGAAAAAGACCTCACTAGACTCAATCATCAAACCGCAGTCGAGTTGTTCAGAAAGCTCGAGAAGGAAGGAACGAGTTTGGTCCTCATCATAACTGAGCTATTTCAAACAATAAACGTGGTGCTAAAGAGATGCATATAATTCAGGCATCTTGGTAGAAGGAATTGTTAGAGAGATCTCAGCAACTTCTTGAACAGAGTCACCTAATTGAAGGAAGGTGTACCACCTTGAATCAAAAATCATAGAAACCCTAACTAAGCAGAGCTCTATAAAAGGCATAAGGAGTCAAGGTGAAAGCTATGTTGAACTCTCCTTGTCTTCTTGCAATTCACTCAACTCCATTACTAACTTAAGTATCAGAATGCCTTCAATCGAAACATTTCGATCTTGAACAATTTATTTGTTTTACAGGAAGAACAAGACTTGAAAAATAAGTTCAAAATCCATCCGCAAAGGATATACCATTTATTCATTCACGTAAGAGGTTTCTTCGTTTTTTGCCTCATACAGATTCATTTCAGTTGAATTTGTACTTTTCCTGTTATGTTATACAAACAATGTTTCATGGTTTGACTTGCAAAACAATTATTGATGTTTTCTTTGTTGCTTACACGAAAGTCCAAGCTACAGAACTGAAATTCAACATCATCAGATCTTCCGTTCCCGTTTGTAATTTTCCATACGATAAATGGTTGTGACTCAGCGATCGTGGACACTCGTGGTGCCCACACTCAAATTGGCGCCAGACATTTTTTTCTTCAACGAGAGAGATGGAGAAAGGTAGCTAGATTGAGTCAGAAGAGTCGGTAATCAAACCCTAGTTGTCGAAAATTCAGCTCTAATGGTCACTGAAAATAAGTATAACGTACTAAGGCTAAAAATGGTTCGTATAGTGTCATGTTTATGCCGCGTTTAGACCATGTTTATTTGACTATGGATGCACTTTTTACCACCCAAATCCAATAAGTATGAACTAAAGCTTGATTAACTTTTTGTCAATTTTGTGGTGGTTAGAAGAGTCATATCTAAAATTATCGATTCTAGCACGGCATTTGCTTGCTTGTATCAATGGGAAAATATAAGAACGCCCGGCCCACAATGACGTCGTTTTGATCCAGGTATAAATTAATGACAGTAAAAGAGCAGATCATACTACTATAAAAAGGGAGGCAACGCCGTGAAATTCTTGTGCTCCCCAAGAGAGTATCAGCCCCTTTTGCTTGGTCTCATTCTCACTTTCTCTCTCAGCCATTGCTGATAGTCTGATACCTTGGGGATGGGAAGGGCTCCTTGTTGTTCCAAGGTTGGGTTGCATAGAGGTCCATGGACTACTAGAGAAGACTCATTGCTTACCAAGTACATTCAGGCTCATGGTGAAGGCCATTGGAGATCTTTGCCTAAAAAAGCTGGTATTTCTCACTCTCTCTCTCTCTCTCTGTCTCTCTCTCTCTCACACACACACACTTCGCCCCACATACATGCAGCTTTTTTCTTTTTGCACTATTCAATTATTTTTGGTTTTACAAGTGACAATGGCAAAAGCAATCAAGAAGGGCTGATTATGATCATATATGTTGTTGTTGTTCATGATTTTTTGTGCAATGAAGGGCTACTAAGATGTGGGAAGAGTTGCAGGCTAAGATGGATGAACTATCTAAGACCAGATATCAAGAGAGGGAACATAACCCCAGATGAAGATGATCTCATCATCAGATTGCATCGCCTTCTTGGCAACCGATGGTCTCTTATCGCAGGAAGACTTCCAGGTCGAACAGACAACGAGATAAAAAATTATTGGAACACCCATCTCAGTAGAAAGCTCATTAGCCAAGGAACTGATCCAAATACCAACAAAAAATTGTTGGAGCCACAGAAGAAGAGAGAGAGGGACATGAAAACCAGTAATAGCAAGAAAATCCAGAACAACAAGGTCAAAACCAATGCAGAGCCTCAAAAGACCACAATTCATCACCCAAAGCCTGTCAGGGTTACATCTTTTAGTTGTTTCTCTATGTCAAGAAACAGCAGCTTTGATTGGAATACAGGTAGCAGGTGTTCGAGCTTTGGAGGAGATGGAGAACTTTGTATAGAGGTTAATAATGTTCCATGGTGTAGTGATAATGTTATTGGGGTTAATGTACTTATTAGTCATGATCCAGATGATGATCTGCTTAAAGGTTCAACATTTGAAGGCCAATCTCAATTGCCTACATCTTACAACGGTACTCTAGAGAAGCTTTATGAGGAGTATCTTCAACTGCTCAAGGCAGAAGAAAATGATCATGTGCAATTAGACTACTGAATCTTGGTCAATCTGTCTATAAAGATTATAGGTTAAATGCTATGTTCAATTCCACTATATGTATTTTAGATGGTGAGAACAATGGAAATCACCAATTTTATATCTCTATCATGAAATTTTCTTCAACACGATTGAATTGTTTTTATGGCATAGTAAAGATGAAAGTCTGCTGGATATTTGAAGGAATCTAATGGTATCAGAACTGGGAATGAAAAATGGGAATTCTGCATGACTAATATTTAAGAGTTGGATCATGTTTGTGATAAATTCCATCTTGCAAATCTTCGCAGCTTAGTAACATAACCGTATTAAAACTCGCGCCACATGTCTTGTATAGACAATTACAAAAAAAAGCATAAACCTAACATTTTCCTTTGGCAGATGGACTTGATGAAAGTTAGAAAGCGGGCTTGTACAAATTTTTGGCTTGCACGACCTCATCGAATTCAAATGCTATTTTAGTGGTCATCGAAATTATTCGAGCAAGGTAGTTTCCAACACAAAGGCTTGAACTCAAGTTGTAGAGTACCACATTTGGGAACCTAATCATCAGAGAAAGTTCAGCTCCAATATGCAGACATGATGTATGAATCATATCACACAAAAGGTTCTATCGTAACAAACCTTTTAGAACCAATTCGAGCCAAACGGAGACTTCAGATTTTTGTTTGTTTTTTTTTTTTTAACTACTTTTTATGCCCAATATTTTGGAATATCGCGTAGCCAAGCCAGCATTTTGTTTAAAATACAATTAATATCCAACCCCTTGAGACTAGACTACGAGAAATTTATCCCTCATAAATAATTTAGTCTCAACGTAGATAAATTGTCGTTGACCTGACCAGATAGATGATTAGTCGAAGTGCGCGTAAATTGACCCGAACACCTTGACTGATAAACCAAAAAAAAATATCAAATAATTTGCAGCTTTTTGATGATTTTAAATGGCAAATAAATATGCCCATGTTTGAAATTTGTAGGGATTTGTATGTGTGTCTATCCATTAGATTCTTCTTCGCTAAAAGGATTTCAGAAAATTCGGTATGTGGATTAAAAACAAACAGGTAGAGGATGTTATTTGAAATGCTTTCCATAGAGAATCCTCCTACCGACACCAGATCAACTTGGAATTTTAAGATAGAGACTTACAGTTCGAATTTTCTATGAATTTCAGTTGGAACTTGGTTAGCTGAACTTGTCACCAACTTGAATTCTTCAGTTTGGAATATGCATATAGTAGGGGCATCCGTCGGCAATTCAATACACAGTTGCTCGAGAAAAGGAGTGAGATTCATCCAATACATTTTTTTTTTCTCAATTTCTCTTCATAGAAGATTCCTTGTCTTGAAAATAAACTCCATTGTACTTGAGTGGATCGAAATGATTTATTACTGAAAAAAATTACGAAAAAATATGATAAAAGAATCTATATCCAAGAACTGGTTTAAATACAATGGCCCCACTAAATTGGTCAGCAGTTTGACTAATTGAGGGGATGCTAATCACGTCACTAGTGTTTTCATTGGCCTAGAGAAAGAAATACCACTAAGAAAGAGTGACTTGTGGCATTTAACCAAAACTGGTGCTGAACTAAGGTGGTCACCTGCTACACTAATTATCTTTAGTCCATGAATGACCATGACATAACACCAAACCACAATGTTATAGGATCACCTTTTGGAAATTTTTACCAAAACCACCAATAGAAGACAAGCTTTCAGATTTCAGCAAGATTTCAGCTAAGATTTGTGCCAACTAAGTACACTTCTCCAATCTCTATCCACTGAATGCCTTGTCTTCTTTTGCTTTCTGGGACGTAATTTCCAATGCTAAAGTAGTTCTATTATCAAGACTCCCTTTCTCAATTTTAGTTAAAAGTATTATACCGAAAAATAATATATTCATACCATGAGTAGATGAGGAAGAACTCGAGAAAGGATTAAAAAAGGCACAAAATAAAACCGAATAGAGGAGGACATGTGAAATCATTTCTTGGGTTAACAAAAATTGACCTTTTAACCTCCGAGTTGGTAAAATCTTCGGCGAATAAGCAACAAGGTTACAGTTCCAATTAATTAAGAAAATCTCAACTTTAATGAACAAGACATGTACAGGGTACATGGCCTACTAAACTAAACTCCAGAGGAATGCCAGCCCATTATACATGCTTATGTGGGGAATAATAATATATATTGTCATCTCAACTTGGTAGGTTCTAAGCTAATTCATCAACATTAGGAGAGTCCACCACGCAAGCTATGTATATATACGCACAAAATAGTTGTGAAAATACACCTTCTAATCTGTTATGTATCGGTACTATAGAGATTTCGCAATTAAGGCTTCTAGAATTGAAGGTGACGTTTGGCATGCATCTCAAAACTGTTGGGGAAACTTTAAATATCTCAACCCTACAAAACACCACTTCAAGATAAACAGTAGAACTATAATTAGAGGTGTTAATTGAGCCGATCCCCCGAAAATGGACTTTTATGAGCTTCCAAAATAGCTTTTAGGCCATCATGACCAATACCCCAGTTAGTTCTATACATGTGACCTTTCAATATCTTTTAGGGGTAATATGAAAAAATTAATCATTTAAGGGGGACAAAGTAAAACAATTTGTATCTTTCAAGAGACAAAGTGGAATTATCCCTAATTTTCATCTGGAATATATGACCAGGGGCGGAGGAGTACTCCCCTCTCAAATTTTCTTTTTATTAGTTATGTACATATATTATATATCTATATAATATATTACGTGTGTTTACCCAAAATCCAAGATAAAAATGTTAGACCCACATTATTTATCCAAAAGAATTAAAAAAATAAGTCCATTTAAAACAAAAAAAATTTAAGTCCATCACTATCTACCCAAATTTATTAAAAAATTAAATTTTTGACTTATCACAATCCACCCAAATCTATTTAAAAAACAAAATTTTTGTCCCACCATATTTAATTGTGTTCACCCTAATATTATATTTTAGAGATATTGATTTAAATAAACTCATACTTAAATGATTGTTAACTTTTTTAACAATGTTATTAAAACTTAATTTTATGACATAATACATTGCGATATTAAGTATAATAGTGAGTCTTAATATTTAATAAACTCTATTATCTATCAAATGGTCACAAACCATTGAATCTCTATCAATTAAATCTCAAATTATATACAACTCATATAATTGTTAACTTTTAGACATGTTCGAATATGTTTTGAATTTATTGATGTTATTTTATAATTTTTTTAAATTATAGGGTTATTTTATTATTATATAAAAATGTGTGTCGTTATGTAACAAACTATAAGATTATAAATAGAAGATTGTTATTGTAATTTTATATATAAAAGAAATATTATTGATAAAATTAATTTGTAACACTTTCGAATAATAAAAATATACTGGGATCAATTATAAGTAATAATAATTAGTCGTATTCTTGATAAGAAATTTTAATTATTATTTTTTTATTTATGAGTATATCTATTTTTAATCTTCAATGTTTACAAAGTATTAAATATAATTTATGAACTTTTACGGTCTATTAAAAAAATATTAGAACATACTAGTGTGCCCACCCTAAAATAATTTTTTAGCTCCGCCCTGAAAACAAATCTCATCTTTAGCACGAAATATCAGGCATGCAAAATTTTTTTGAGGGATCATTTCAGGAAACAAGTTAAACTTGAACAATTTTTTTTGATTCGTTTAAAAAATAATTTAAAAATTTTCGTTCAAACTCGTAAAATTTAACTTATTTATATATAAAATAATCGAACTTTTCGGACTCGCTCCTTACTCAACAAAACGAACTTGAATAATTTTTGAGATTCTAAACTTGTTCGATAAGCCCGAGGTCGCAAAACCCAATTAACAACCCTAATTCACACACAATTCCCACTATCAAAAACCACCGTGTCAGAAATGGAAAGGAGCAAAAATACTACAACCAAATTATCAAGCCAGCATAGTATTGAAATTGAACTACAACACCAAAGATTGAATAATTTCTTTACGCTCTGAAGAAAGAATTCCCCCATTTCTGTGTAACGGTTCGGAAGGAAAAATATTCCAGAATTGATGATCGATTTCATGTCATTACCGAACTGAGCTCAAATTCATCAATAGATTCTCAATTCCACAATAATTCAGGTTGATAACATCACAACAACACAAAATTAGCGTTATATTTTTAATAATCAGTCACAATATTCTACAAAATTGTACGCATGTCGTTCAAAACAACAGGTAACGATCACACATAACCAAAGAAACAAACCCAAAAGAAAAACCCGAAAACATGTGGCCAGAGAATCAAACCATGTGATATACATAGTCATAGAAACATATAGGAAGATTGTGTTTTCAGACATGAGAGAGTTTATCGGGGGTGTTGTTGTGGGTGGAGACAGAGTCGTCATGGGAGATGGGTTTTGTGAGCATGAGAGGACGGTCCTTGGCCTCTTCCTCGTTCTCATCGTCGTCGGCATCGTGGGAGGTGCTGAGGTTTATGCAGGAGCAGCGTTCCAGAGAGGTGAAGAACGCCGAGGCTACACTCGTCCCCACCCAATTGGCCACCCGATCCAGCTTCTCGCATGACATGAACCCACAATTGTTCTCCATCGTTCGATTTGCTGACATTGAAATTGACGAAGTTCGCTGTTTTCTTGGTTGAAGAGGACTTCACGAGAGATTGGGATAGAGGAGTTAGAGATTGGGATGGCTTGGAAAAGGATATTAAAGGGCATCTGTCCGCCTAAAGTTTCTTGTTTGTAACGGAATATTGATTGCCGGAAAAAAAATGTTATTCCGACTTAAAATTTTAATTTAATTTATTAGTTTAAATAAATAATTTTTTAAAGTATATATTTTTCTCAAAACAAACATATAAAAACATTGATACTCCGTTTGGTACGATGGAAAAGTGGGAGGATGAAAAATTGAAGGGATAAAAAAAAATATCATATTTGGTAAGGAAGGAAAGTAAGAAAGATGAAAAAGTTGATGTATTAACTTTACTTTCAACTCACCAAAATTAATGTCTCCAAAATCAGAAAGAAAGTAGATGAAAGATTAATTATTTGTGTTTAGATGTATCTTATTTGTATATATATCTTATGTATACATTAATTTCATATAAAAATATAATGATAAAACATGTATATATATTTTAAAAAATTTTCAAAATAAAATTTTTAAAAAATAAAAATAAATAAAAAAAAAATTTAAATTTAAAAAAAATATTTTTTACACCTTAACTAAGGGTGAAAATTTTAAACTCAACACCATGACACGACTCAAATTTGATACGAAAATAAACAGGTCAACTCGCAATTCGACACGACACAATTAAATAAATGAGTTAAGTTAAGTTTGACTAATATTCAACATAAACTCGTAATGATTTAGCATGAATCTGACGCGACACGACTCGACTCGATTGTCACCCCTAACCTTAGTCACCACGAAATTTTTTTTTAAAAAAAAATAATTATTTTTATTTTTCATCCATCCAACCAAACACAAAAGAAAAAAAATGTATCATTTCTATTTTTCATCCTTCCTACTAAACGGAGAATAAAAATAAAAAGTTATCATGTTCAAGCTTCACCGTCCATTACATTTCAACTTCCTGTCAATCTAACACCTGTCTTGATGTTAAACCATTGTGTTTTATAGCCTTACCAAAAAAAAAAAAAAGAAGATTAAATTTTAATTCAGGTTTGTGGCCCATTAATGTAGAATTTTGAGATGAAATGTCGACCACTAAATTTTCAGACAATCCTCAAACAGATTGTTTAGCATCTATTTAAATTTGTAAGAATGTTCAATGCTGAAAATTACTAGATGATGTTGTCTTTATTGCAAATTTTCCTGAGAAAAAATTGACAGAGATCACAAAATTACTCGGAACGATTTAAGGTGGGGGAATAATAAAGTTATGTAGTCAGTACACATACTCTGCCAACCCTTGAAGCCGGTTGAGTTTTCTAGGGGAAAGGGTGTTGTTTAGGGAATGAGCCAATTGGTGGTGATATGATTCCCCAATTTGCTAAATGTGCTTTAGAATTTTTTTTCCTTTAGCTTAAGTTTAGAATTTTTTAATTTAAAACTTTAACCTCTTTCCCCTGTAAACATTGCATAACAACAACAATATGTGACAAGCATTATCTCACAGAACAAATTGTATTAAGTAGAAATAAGAAAAATAGTAAACTCGGAATCAAGTAGAAAGCGCAATCAAACCACGACCACTCAGCTACATTTCTAACTTTTGGTCAATTGCCTGAAGGGTTGAATCTTCATTCAAACTGTATTTGTACAAGCCCTTAGCCACTATGATGCATATTGGGTCATTATCTTTATTTAAGAATGCAACACAAAGACCAAACCAGTAGTCCAATGTCACAATCAAACTAGCGTAACATGCTGTTTTTCCTCAAAATCCTAAACTAGTCTATAGACAAAATCATCCAACTCACCAATTATACTTTAGTAGTCTATGGTTGTTAATTCCATTATTATAAGGCAATTGAGTAATCATATCAGAGTATTTGGTACAAGACCCAATCAAAAACCACAACGGTTGATTTCATCGAAAGAATAACATCAAAAGTTTTAGGAATAAAAAATACAGACCCAAAAATCTATTGCGAAAAGAAAACAATATTCTTTTCTATGAAATTTGCAATTTTACGAATTGTATTTCTAATGTTGTAGCAATCAACCACCAAAACTAAGTGCCAAAAAGCAGAGTTGATCATGTTTTCTACCATGGAAATTTTTGAGGCTAGAGCAAAAGTATTACCCACAAACAGTAAGAATGTGTTTTAAGTATAGATATACCAGCCTTAGCAAAAAATCTAACATCCGATCAAACTGATTTACCTGGCTCAGCCTTGCAATATCCACTTCTCCAAAAATAGAGTACCTTCAGAAGAATCTAACAGGTCCACGAGGTGGAGCGTGTAAGCCTTGGCTTCGCTATCTTTTTGTCCTCTTCAAGAGAGATCATGACGAGGTTGGATGGGTTCTCTATCATGAGTTTTGCAACCAAATACCCTGCAATAGTCCATGTCTGGTACTTCCTTGCTTGCTTCCCAATGTAACACCCAGTCTTACCATCATAGTACTCAGGCCACCCATCTTTGGGGAGGCGCTGCTCCACTACTTCTATTGCTCTCTTTGCAATTTGTGGCCTTCCAGTTTTGATGCAGGCTGCTGTCAGTAGCCATAGCAGAACTACAAAAACAAACCACACCAGCACTACATATCGTTACCTACGACATTATTCTCATTTAAAAAAATAAAGAAGCAGCATTTCCCATGTTCATTTTATTTCGGTTGTGATTTCATGATACAAAAATGATTAATCAAGTTTGTCTCGAATAAGAATTAGTGAGGATTAAGCAAACAACATTAGTAAAATAACATGAGGATTATAAGAACATCAAGGACTGGAATGTAATTCAGAAAACCATCGATCCAGGGATGAATTCACATTTCAAGCACCTGCAGACTTTCAGTGCCACCATGCCTTCTTAAAAGAATACTTGGTGAAACATTCTTTTCTTAGTATTCTTACTGATGTATAAGTACTCTAGTGTAAGTTAGTGCACCAACAACTGCTTTTAATTATCATTACAAACAGAACCACAAACCAACATTTCCATAGAAATGCTGACATTCTCAACCAGAATTCTGGTAAGATTGACCATATAAAGCGAAGAAAGTTTCCTAGAGCTCAAGGTTATTCAAAAATATGTGCTGAAAAATAAGTGGTTCGACAGTCCAATAGTATTTCCTTACATTGTAAATTAAGTGGGCATGGGAGCTAAATCTCCCACTCATTGGTTATTACAATGACCTCTTTTTTTGATCCAGAATCAACAGATAGTGCCCGACAGCATAAATAAGGTGCAAGAATACTAACATGAAATCGCACAATGCACATGGACTCACCTGGCCAAGATCCACCATTATGATAACTCCAGCGTGTGTTCTTAGGGTCACATCCGGTGACAATCCTCCACTGGTGGCCTTCCAGAGCTGGGTATGCAATTTTCAGAGGCATCTCCCCAATCAAGTCAGCCCAGCGCTCCTCAATTAAATCCATAATGGCTGTAGCTTGTACTGGTGTGACTAAAGAGCTCAAGATAGCAATACAGTTCCCAACTAGGAACCACCTGAAGTCCATGCGAGCAGGGCTGACATTGCCAATCAAATATCCCCCGCGCAATGGCATGAATTCGAACAGCCAGTCTGGGATAGATTCAGGGATGACATTGAACTTGTTTACAGCCGTGTGGGAGTATTCCTCAGTTTTGTAACGGTAAATGTTATTCAGTTGCGTAAAGTCAAGCCAGTAATAGTTTTGGATGTGATAACTGAGAGCAGCAATCCGCTTGTCAATCCGCTCAATCAACTCCTTCCCATCTCGCTCTGGTTTTAGCATCTGTTGTGCTGACCTTAGCGCAAAAAAGAAGAGCGCCTGGATCTCAATTGGATAGCCATATATTCCCTGATCCAAAAGCAAGCCAATGATATTATAAATGCAGTAGTCGTAGTTTTATTGAAATCCTCTACGTAGTTAAAAGTACAAGTTTGGACCAAACCTAACATCTCCAGTAGAGAACAGCCTGTTTGACTACCAAGTCCCGACTCACTCAAAACACTTAAAGCTCACACAGCTCAGAACAAGGACATGCTGCAATCAATTGGAATAAAAGATACAAGATCTGACTGGATTTCATTTCTCCTTAAGATGAAAACACCACCCTGTGCAATGAGGTTAACAAATATAGACAGTTGACAAACTGGATATTTCATTAATTGCCGGTTTTAATTGGGAGAGATCGTTTAAATTTCTCAAAGCTCACACATAAACGGCATCTACTTAAGCTCAGTTAATAATGTGGAAACAAGGAAGGCCAAAACCAGTTCAAATGGATAATCACTAAAGTTAGGACGTCCATATGTCAGATTTGCCAATGCATGTAGGTTGGTCAATTAGACTCTCACATTGAGTGCACGTACGTTCTACATGGTATCCACCCTTGGTTCCCCTTGAGATGTTGGAAAGGATAAAACAGGGGAGGGAAAACTTACCATCCTCCTGTCAATCATGCTACACCCATCTGCACATAAGAGGGTTGGAAATGTGTCAAAGCCATCAGACAGGCAAAGATCGAGTATCAACTTCATTCCTCTCTGCACTTCAGGTAATTCCGATAGAGAATGATCTCGTGTGCATTTTGTGTAAGACCTTAGCAAAATGATCCACCAGAATCCTGAATCAACAGGTGCAACTCTTCCAATTGCAATGCCACCAAAATCAGCAGCCAAAATATCGTTCTTGCGCTTTGAGTCATTTAGCACCTTGAAACTGGCAGGCATCACACCTTCTGCAAGAGTAAAGTTATCAATCCTCTTCTCCCTGCCTTGGAGGTGGAGGGTCTTTAACAGGAAGTTTTTCACAATCTCAGGTTCGGCTGGAGTTTTCATTAGGCATGCTAAGCCACAAGGAACAAAGTCTCTCACAAACACCTGCCCATAAAAATTAGTCAGATGAAATCTAAGTAGCAATAAAGGCAGGTAAAGGTGCATCACTTCAAAATTAAAGCAAGCCACATCGACCTAATAGCCATTAGATTACAGAGTGTTTCAATGTCTAAT